GTATTGAATCTGCTGTTAAGTTGTTATTTAATTTTGGCGGCCATTTTAAAAAGCGCCCTCAATTGCCTCCCGAAATCTTCACATTAGCTAGTTATACTTTACTCCTATCATTACATATTCAAAAGTTGCTCAAACCTACCTCTTCTGTGCTTATTTTACCCATATATATGTAGTTTATTGGATTTTGGCGGCCATTTTGAAAAAGCGCCCTCACGCGAAAGTTCTCAGATTACACCCCTTTTACCTCACATATTCTGATTCCCCATAAAAATCTGGTCTAGAAAAACCATATGAGAATTTCTACCTCTCCAAGTGGCACCTATCTCAATTATAGCCTGGTCTATACTGGAATCGGAATCAATACATGTAACAAGAGATAAGAAGGTAGTTTCGGCCATTTAGCTAAGCATGTTACTTATAGGCCTAGGGCCTAGGCCCTAACTAAGAATAAGATTTCTGGCGGGTAAGCTAGTAGGCCCTGGTCCTACCCTACGCCTAGAGGCCAAGTGCTTAGGCCCCTAGGCCTAGTAGTAGGCCTAGGTTTATAAGTTATACTAGATCTACCTAGCCTCTGCTTTTTAAACGACAGATTAGGCCTAGGTGAACTGATTCCTAAGATCCTTGGCTTGGCCCTTGGGGAAAACACAAAGGGTTTTTTTTTTTTTTCCTTAATATTTATCTAGCCTAGGCCAAAACAAGGCCCTCCTTCCTGGCCTAGCCTATCTGGTAGGAGGGGTAGGCTTTAGAAATTGATATCAGCATCAGCTTTTCTGCATTTTTTCCAGTCTACATTCATCCTTATGGATTTTAGGTTATAAATTGGCCTATACATTTTATATTTATAAATTTATAAATGTTTTATTTCATGAGACAATACATACAGGCGTGAAACATAAATAGAAAGTGGATGTTTATATATGCATGAGAATCTCGCATTTATGAGTGAAAGCAGGTTTATTACTCAAAACATACTTTTTTTTTGTTCTAGATCATATTGGACCATGTCACGACATATAGTTAAGAGAGTGCTCAGTGTTGAACAAGCAGAGGGAATGGGAGCTAGAGTGCGACGCAGTGTTGGACGACCAGAGGTAATTTGCGACAGCTCTGCCAATACCCACCGTTTGTCGTAATTTCTGTTTTTCGCACAAGCACCCAAAATGTTTGAGAATCAAAATTTTCAGCATTTTCTGGTTTTTGCAGTCTATAATAAAAGATTATTGAAGAACATTTTCTGCAAAATATCAATCACTAAATGTAAGGGAAAAGTATATATTAAAATTCTTTGTAAAAAAATAGAAATCTTAATAATGAACTAATTGATTTTGGAATATTTGGAAGCTGTTTTCTCAAAACCTACATGGCTGATATGAATTAATTATTCATAACTTGACTAATAATCAACCAATTTCCACAATAGGATACTCTATACCAAAAACTGATTTTAAAATTGTTTCACCAAATGGCTGGTTTTTGCCAGAGCTGATGATATTTACAGTATAAATAATTTTGACATTAATAGTTATTGGAAATTGTCTAAGTCTACATTTATCATTTTGTTTTGGTTACATTTGAATTTTAAACATACTTGAACCAGCTGTCATTAGAAAATGGTTAGGTGTGGGGTGGAAAAGGGGTTGCCTATTTCATATATTATTTTTTACTATTAGTAATAATTTTATTACAAGATTTAAAGACAATAGTCCCACCTGTGATAGAAGAAAACAAAAATCATAAAAATCAATTTTTAGGTTTATATATTAAGTAATTTAAATTTACTGTATAAACTTAAAAATTGATTTAAAAAAAAACATTCGCTGGAAAAAAAAAGTTTGCTGCAGCTGGATGAAGTGTCTCATTTTGCAAACTAAGCTTTGTCCACAGTTATCACATTTTAGTAACAAATGTGTGTGATGTGCCCATATATAGATGTGATGATGTCATATTGTCTAAGTCTACATTTATCATTTTGTTTTTGTTACATTTGAATTTTAAACATACTTGAACCAGCTGTCATTAGAAAATGGTTAGGTGGGGGTGGGGTGGGAGAAGGGTTGCCTATTTCATATATTTTTTTTTACTATTAGTAATAATTTTATTACAAGATTTAAAGACAATAGTCCCACCTGTGATAGAAGAAAACAAAAATTATAAAAATCAATTTTTAGGTTTATATATTAAGTAATTTAAATTTACTGTATAAACTTAAAAATTGATTTAAAAAAAAACATTCGCTGGAAAAAAAAGTTTGCTGCAGCTGGATGAAGTGTCTCATTTTGCAAACTAAGCTTTGTCCACAGTTATCACATTTTAGTAACAAATGTGTGTGATATGCCCATATATGGATGTGATGATGTCATATTTCACCCAAAATGGCCATATCACAGTTATTTGTCATATGAAATAGTGTGGACAGTGGTTTAGGTTGATTGTGAACTGTGTGTAAAACCTTCATGCTGTTTATGTGAATGAATTCTTGCTTTTTGTGTAGCTTCGAAACCTGGATCCATTCTTATTGTTAGATGAAGGACGAGTCAAAAAGCCAGCTGGCTTCCCAGATCACCCTCATCGCGGATTTGAAACTGTAATGGCATTTGTTTTAACCTCTACCCTGTTATCATTTGATTGTATAATCACATATATAGATAAAACCAGCTTATATTTTTGTCTGAATTTATTTTCGTGTTAGAAAGCCAACACTCTTTGCAGGATTTGGGTAGGATCTTTGTTCGCTACCAATTTCAGTATCCAAAACCTTACATACTACAACTTTGAGAAGCATGATGGGAGAAGAAAACGGAGTATAGGCCTAAGCTTGAATTGCGCTGTGATTGTGATAACGCAGAATGGCTACAAACTGTTACGGATTGCTAAACGTATGCGTACACATATTCGTTAGTGTGTGAAACCTCCCTAGTGTGGTGAACAGAGCTTAACTAACAAAATCCTAAGACACATTAAAGTTATTTTCAAAGAATTTTTTATTTGCCACCATTCTTCTTTAGTAGGATTATTTACATTTACTTGTTACCTACAGTGGATGACAGCAGGAAGAGGTATAGTGCATTCAGAGATGCCTGGGTCAGATGAAGAAAATCATGTTTTGCAACTGTGGGTGAACCTTAGCAAAGAATTCAAGATGGTTGAACCACATTATCAAGAGCTGTTGAGCAAAGACATTCCAGTCGCCACGAGGGATGGTGTCACTGTTAAGGTTATCGCTGGAGAATCTTTGGGAAAGAAGGTATGGTATTGTGCAGGTACAGCAGTGACAAGGGGGATGGTCAGCCAACTCACATTCTTTCCCTCCTCCCCCCCACAATTTTTTCAAAATTATTATTAAAAAAAAATTGAGAAAAAAATGAAAATTATTCAAATTTAAGTGCCATTTCCTGCCATCTAGAGGTGCCATAATTATTACATTTTCTTCCCTTCGCCCCAACCATGGTGGGACTGTGGTGGTCTAGCCTCTCCTTCTGTAAAAGTTCCTCCCTTGGCCCCAAGGCGTGGATCCAGTTGGAGGAACAGGTTCACGCCCCCCTTACCCGTTTTGCCACTAAATATTTAAATTTCAATGCATATTAATGTTGTGTATTGAAATAGGTGCTACTTATCTGTTCTGAAAATGTTGTAATCCCCCCCTCCCCTATTTGAAAAATTCTGGATCCGCCCCTCGCCCTTTATTTTCAAATACTGGATTCGCCACTGAGCAGTACTGCATTGCGACAACATCACAAGCCTGCAGCCAGAATTGTAAAGAAATAGAGTATAATAAAGTTAATTTTTGTTTTTCAGTCACAAGTTCGCACTCGTACACCTACAACATATCTGGATTTTAAAATTGCAAAAGGTGGGGAAGTTAGCCAAGCTTTACCAAGAGGCTGGACTGCGTTTGCTTATGTGCTTACAGGAAAAGCTTGGTTTGGTAAGATCATATTTACTTTGTCTTTTGAAGGAGAAAAGACCAATTCAATTTAATTCTAATGTAACTATGCATCACAGGGTAGGGATGTTACTCCATTAAGGTCCAAATAACCCGCCAATCCCAATCATGTGGGGAACTATGCCTTACTGGGTAGGGGGAATCACTCCAATATGGTACCAATGACGCGTATACCCTATGCATCCCGGGGTAGGGACGATACTCCAATAAAGCCCTAAAGACCCTTATACCCTAGATGTATTTAGTGGTCATGTATATGACCCCCTACCATTCTTTTAAAAGAGTAGGGGGTTACCCCAATGCTGTGGTTCATTTCAGGCCTTATCGGAATGATGTGGTCTTAAAGCCTCCCATAGGCAATGAGGTACAATGGTGCTCCAACCTTTACCTTTCTTTTTGCCCTTTTGTAAAAGTGAATTTTTAAATAATACAGTATTTTATATCAGAAAATATGTAAATTAATTTTTTTATTTTAAATATGTCAATACTCTATATTTTTGTATATTTTTTATTCTGTAGTAAATATATATTTTCCCTGACCCTGACTAATTGCAGTAGAGGCATCAATGAATTGAGATTTGAATTGATGGGTGGTACCAGGGCCCCCGTTGGGGATAGCTGCCCCACCCCCAATCAGAAAGAAAACCCACAATTTGTGGAGGAGGAATACAAAATTATGTATTTTCTACATTTAATAGACTCTAAATAAATAAAGCTTTTAAAACCCATAAATTGCACACATTTTTGGAGGCTTCACCCTCTCGACCACTTTCAAATATTTTAAGTGACACCCAACCGCACTCACTTTGCTCCCGTCAGGAACATCGGACCCCCGTCTGGCAAATCTTAGCACCACCTTGATTGACGGTGCTGGTTTTTATTAAAACATTTTCTATTTGCTGGACAATATATTTTATAGCAGAAAATCTGAAATGTTTCGTTTATAATATTCGCAATTTTCATCAAGTGATTTATTTCAATGTCAGGGGAAGGAGAACAGTCACAAGTAGGAGAAGCTCACCACACACTGGTTCTAAGTGATGGTGATCACATCACAATTAATAATAAGGTAAGATGGTTTAAAGACTTGCCTTAGTTCCTCCGGATTTTTGAACTAAAATTATGGGGCTTTGCTTACTTCCGGGGAATCCCCTTTTTAATTAAAGGGCACATAGAAATATTATTAAATTATCACTTCTGCCTGCATCAAAAATTTGGGAAATATTGATGCGGATTAACAATTTTTTTTTTTTTTGCCATATCTTTATTTCAACAGCATAAAGAAAACAATGCAATTTGTGACAGGAAATACATTTACTTTAAAAAAAACAATAAAATTAAATCAGGTTTTATACAATATTTACAATATTCATGCCAAATAAAAACAGTCCCTCCCTCATCGATAAAAAGAAAGCAATATTCTATTGTTGCGATTAAAAAAAAGGAAGAAAAGAACCGCCAGCCCTCTTAAAAAAAAGAGTGATAATTCCAATTATTTTTTCTATAAAAGGCGATTTTTAGGCAATGTATGAAATTCAAGGCCAATGTTTGATCTTTGTTTTTTGCGTAATTGTAATCGTGCATAAACTAGAGGTGGGCTTAAACCTAAAGCCGGACACTGACTGCATCGTACTACGGTCGTACAACCCTAGCACGACGAATCCACTTTTGCTTCCGGCGAGCGATAGACGACACGTCGTCTGCTGATTGTTAGTGGCAATCTGAACGGATCCTCATTAAAAAGACAGTCCGTAGGTTCCGCGTCTTCGCGTGTGATCTTCATCACATTGCCGTCGCGTCGCCGTCGTACGCACTGAGTAACCAGCTTTAGGTGAACTACAACAGGACGCACATCTCGGGACATCAGTGGTTATAACTCTGGCATCGACATTCTAGGCGCTAGGCGTCCCTACCCGGTTAACATTACAAAAATCGTAAATTTTCAATTGCTCTAACTTTTCATTTTGTTGATCAATTTTCCGCATAGACTAATAATTGACAGCTGTACTCGCAACTAGTATCGGATTGTCGATGCCACAGTAAAGATCAAAGGACTGTACGCACACGCTGTGTTCGAGAGCGGAGATGTGCGTCCTTTTGTTGAATTGCCTTGACCTAGCGAACTATGATATTTTCCCCTGAAAATGACAAAAAAAAAAAAAATCATTGAAAAAAAATTACTTTTTCTTGTTGCAGTAACATACAAATATATAACTTGAGCATGGAAATTATTATATTAGGAAATGTGTACTGATTTTTATACTGGATAATAACAAAAATAATAAAAACTCTTCAAGTGACTGGAAGTTTTTCATTCATTTTTGTAGTAGATTTATGGGTAAACTTTTTAAAGTTGATTAATTTCTATGTTGAAGTTGATCATTTTTATTTTACTTTAAAATGAGCAAGTTAATTTCATTGGACTAAAAGCATGGTTATTACCAGAAAACAAATGTTATTTAATTTCGTTTCATATTAGATGTAAAATTATTATTTTCTTTCACTTATAAATAGCATTTAGTTGGTTATCATTGAGATACGGATGAATACAAATTAGTTATTGCTGATTTTCAGAATATTTCTATAAAAGGCCTTGAGCTGTGTCAAAACTATCACATTTTATGTGACAAAAAGCTGTTGTATGCCCATAGTCATGATGCACCTATATATGGTTATGATGTGATGTCATCATGGCCATATTTAGGCATATCACATGTTTTTTGAATATGATTAAGGCAAATTAATATACAGTAGTAGCACAAAACGAGCTCCCTCTAGTGAAATTGCCATTAATCATTATGAAGCAATACGAATGATGGAAAATATGAAACTTACAATAAAGGTGGTTTATAGTTTAGGGCATTGAACATGTTTCCCCAATCAAGTCTGTCTTACTGCCGGAGTAGTTGGGGGTCGCTAGTGGTATATGAACCTTGTTAATTGACATGTCCATGTCATCGATATATGCAACTTTTAAACGATCTACAAAAATTGTATCGCCCCTTCCGTCTAAATCTACGGTACAGGTGAAATGTTCATCACGATGGGCCATTATACGACTGTCATTGGCTCGTGATTCTGTGGAGAATGTGACACCATGACATGCGCAACAGATTGTTTTAATCCCATTCAGAATGCCACTGTCAACCTGCAGACGCCATTGCGTCGCCTGGCGCTCCCAGGGAGCAGAGTTGGTTTAAGAAACACAATAATGTTTTGGATATCGTAACGTTACCATGTTTTCCTACTTGGAGGTTAAATAATTATTTGAATTTGAATTAATAACTTACTACGAAGTTTTTTAGCTCAAAGAAAGAAAGATTCTCCTGCACTAGAGCTCTGGACCGGGATTTATCAATCTCAGCTTAGCAAATGTCTTAAGTCAAAAAAGTTGATGTCCCCAAGCAAATATCCTAAGCTGATTTATCTTAGCAAAATCTTAGCTTGAAAATCGTCTTAGATATCGCATGCGTTCAGTCAACACTCTAATTTTATGCAATTTTTAAGCTAAAGCAATATTAATAAATCTGACTTAAGCAAAAAAATGGACTTTCAGTATTAGACGAATTTAAGCTGATTTCTAGGTTGATAAATCTGGCCATTTTGAACTCAAAACAAACACTATAGAAGATGATTAAAAATGGTATAAAATTGTTATCTTTTTAGGATGAAACAGACTGCCATTTTGTACTGATTGCTGGGCGGCCAATAGGGGAGCCAATCAAACAGCATGGTGAGTGATATTTGGTAATTTATTCATAAGCGTTTAGCGCAGTGTGTAAGGTGTTGGGCTTTCAATCGAGTGTTCGAGACCGATGCTCGCGTCACCCTATTTGTGTTCTTGGACAAGATACTTTATCTGCATTTGCCACTCTTCACTCATTAGTATAAATGGGTACCTGGTAGGAGGTGGAAGATTCAGAATGAAATTAAATCAGTTGTGTTGATAGGATGCATAATTAAGAATAGAGGTTCAACGTTTTGTATGATTGATTCTGTATACATTGAACTGTGAAAAAAGCACCTTAAGCTGTTTTCTGGATGTGTGTGCTATATAAATCCTATCCTAAAAAAATGAACTTATTTCAGAATGTAACAGTGGTGGGTAGACTGATATATTGCACTATCGTTACTAATCTAGGACCCATTTATTATAATTTTTAAATAGGGCCGTTTGTGATGAACACTAATGAAGAGATTCAACAAGCTATTGATGACTATCGCAATGCACGTAATGGTTTTGAGAAAGTACTCAACTGGAAGTCAAAAGCAGGAGGCCGTTTTTAAGTTCACATATTTGTGTTCACTGTATTCAATTTTTGTTTGAGTAGTGCATATAATGCAAAATTCCTGGGGTAGACGCATATGCCTTTATATATATTTTCTGTTGGCTTGCAATATTAGGCTATGTTCAGACACAACAATTTACGCTAGCGAATGTTAATCGAGTAGTGTGGATTTGTGTGTGGTGTAAAAGCTGGTGTCAACATGCAATAACTGGCGTACGATAATCCACCAACAGACCCCAGATTAGCATACGCCACTGAGTTATGACAGTCATGCATCAGTGATTTTGAACTCTGCGATGATTTGACCAATCAAAAAGCCTTATTTCAGGAAATAAAATGCAGAACACAAATATCTTAATGCTTGTGTTGCGTTATTCACCCAGTCTGGACATCTCACTAGGTATGCCATGGATTAACGTATGCTCGGCATTAAATGCTGTACATCTGGCATTTCTCTTAGGTCTGAACGTAGCCTCAGATAAATATAATTATGAATTCTGTATAATAAATATTTAATATTTTATTAGTGATTGATTGCAATATGATAAAATTAGTGCATAATTATGAATTATGAATTATAAATATTCAATATTTTATTGGTGATTGATTGTGACATATGTATTTGCTTATCAATTGTACAAGTAGATAATGAAAAGTATAACCTATAGATCTAATACTTTGTTGAACTATGAAGCGGTTTGGCGCAGCGAGAACGGTTTGGTTTCCAAACCTCAAGGTTAGGGTTTAATTCCCTCGCTGTACATTTTGTGTCCTGGAGCAAGGCATGCTATCTGCATTGCTATTCTCTACCCAGGAGTATAAATGGGTACCTGGTGGGAATTGCCTGCTCCTGAACTGTTTACCAGCAGCAACAATGTGGGCCCAATAACTAAAGAAAAAAAAAGCGCTTTGTATCTGTAAAGAAAAGGCGCTATATAAATAATAAAAATAATGTATGGTGTATGTTAGATCTACCTCATTACAGAAGTGCATTGGAAAAAATAGAGTGAGAGAAATCGTTTATAAATGTAAATTTTTGGAGCTAGTAGCAGAAAATCAATGAGATTTAGATGGGAAAATATATACCAAAAATAAATGTGTAGAGAATAAGATATACATTAATTTTAATTTATTCAGTTATAAACATAATGTTTCCCCATACAATGTTTTAATAGCTTGAGCTTGGTTTCCATACAATCGCTACACGGTATCGCTTTCGGTGATGCTGATCGGTCGGTCGAATCGGGGAGCCTTCCCAATAACGTCAGGGACTGTTCGCAGTACAACGATTGCACCGAACACACTAGCCACAGTGTAGCAATTTTATCGAAACCAGATTTTAGATGAAAAGAATCAGCAAACAATAATTTATACAAAGTTAATTTTGGGGAACAAATAAGGATGGCCTTAAAAAAACTAGGTTCTAAACACTTTTAGAATCTTCCATCAATTTCGCTGATGTGTTTTTTCTAAGATAGACTGCAATCAGGGAAATTTTGTATATTGAACTTTTGGTATAAAATTATATATTACATTACATTCATGATAATGCCTATATTTTTATTTAATGTGGGTTTGTACAGTAAATGTAATAAATTATATATATGTTATAAATATTGACGATTGTTAAGTTTGTTCTTTGAAAGTACTTGCAACATCAGTAGATATAGATATCCAAAAATATATCTGCTCCACAGTACATTTAATCTGGTGTAAGAATCTTAGTCTCAATAAATATTCAAAAACTGTCTTCCAAACCCTGTCCAGACCATCAAATTGCATTTGACAAAAATGATGACATCACATCATGACCATAATAGGCACATCGTGACTATATATGAGCATACAACAGTTGTTTTTTTTAACATTTGTTTTTTTTTTTTTTTTTTTTTTTTTTTTTCACATAAGATTTGACTGTCTGGACAGGGCTTAATATACATACAGTACTATATTTACAATATGGCTTTATTTCTTAGTATTCTTGTATCAAGTACCACCGTGTTTGCACCAATGGTTTTGGTATCGATCGTATTGCAGGTTTTATCATCGTTAGCATTTTATCAATGGTTACTTTTGTGGTTAACTTGTAGGCTACTGGGCAGAAATATTTTTTCTTAGCATACAGGTGCTTATACCAGGTACCACCACCATTATTTGCATCATTGGTTCTGGTATCGATCGCCGTGTTATAGTTACCATTGTATTAATGGTTACTTTTGTGTCACCAATAACTGGTAGGCTACTGGGCAGAAATCCTGTTTATTAACTCACTGGTGCTTATACCATTCACCACCATATGCGCACCATTGGTTTTGGTATCGATCGTTGGTGTTGGTATAACGGTTATTGCAAGTTAGATTATCGTTACCATTGTATTAAAATAGCTCAGTATTTTGTTTCACATTTACATATTCTTGAGTTGAATATTAAACCTTCATTGCATTGAATTGGTCGACATTCTCCATTTTGGACACATCTGTAAAATAAAATTACACAATGATGATACAAACGATGTACATAATGTTTATGATAGACTGAAATCCAGTCCGTCGACATTGTCTCAATCAGTGAACAATATAAGAAGTGTTTTTTTTTTTTTTCAGTGGCGTTCTATATTACTTCTTTGCGTTGCATATCTTTATCCGAGTCTATGACCAATCAAAATTCAACATAATAAAAAGTTTCTTTGATATGAATAGACGACGGTGGCGCTCTGCGGAAGCTTCTAACACTAGGGAAAGTCAGTAAATTAAGTACTTGTGGCAAGCCTATGTATAGGCCTATGCATGTACATGCATAAAGTAATCTATTTTGTATAAATGTACCTTCCAAGCAAACACAAAACTTATTTCAGAACGTGATGTTGGATTCGTCGGCCGAAGGTCGTACGACCTTCGTGCAACGCGGTGAGAGCCCTGCTTAACGTTATAACTAACATACAATATCATTATTAATAATTCAATATAATATCTAGAATTGAAGATTCTAGATGGATGGCTAGCGCCAGAGAAGTAGTTCTAAATAAATTAAGAAGTCAGTTATATTTAATAGGTAAATAAATTGTTATGCAATTTAGAGATGTTAGATAGTAGAGTGCATCTGATCGGAGTTTTGCAAAAAGTTAATATTTGAAGGGTCGGCGATTGATGACGGCAAACATGAATTTGTGCATGTTTATAAATGATGTATCTTTTAAGGTGGGTCCGTAAAAGAAGATATAGTAGAATATATTTTTATCGTAAATATACATCTATTATAAATGTATTTATTTTCCCAATGCTAGAATATTTTATGAATTGATAATTTAGAAAAAATATTTGAATTACACTTACTGGCAATGACTTCCTCCCATATATCTTTCGCCGTTTAAAATTTTGTTGCACCTTTTTTCTTCTAACTGTTGGTCACATGCACATTCGCATGTTTCTGGATCTTGTATAAAGGGCGCCGCACATGGCTGACGACAGACGCACTCATCTCCGGACAGCTTCTTGTGTGCAGCACAGGCTCTTTCGGGTAATACAGTTTGCCGACATGCACATTTTGTATCTGATACTAAATTTATGTTCTGGAAATAAGGTGGTTTCGCTGGATCACTCAAATTCGTTAGAACCTATGTAATGTAAATAGGGTGAAACAAAAGTACCGAAATATTAAAACATGTTTCAACCTGCCTGCACCGTGCCATCTTTTGTACCCTTTGTTCTATATAGAGTCATGGGTCCCGGGGCGAGAAAATTTTAGTGGGTCTCGTGTCAATAAGTTTTAATTAGATTTTAATTTACCTGCAGCTTACTCATAATTTATGATTAACTTTAATGTTTTGAACGTCATATTCTTAAAACAAAAAATTAAATAAATAATAATCCTATAGTATGAACGTGTTTAACGACTTTTTATTTTGGACATCGATTATGATAATTAAATTTATCAATATTTCATGGCAATAAAATCTGTTTCAATAGTTATACAAATATATGTAACAAATATGTCAAAACAATTGCTAAATTGAATTTTACCAAACGTAATCTAGCATTATGTATACATAAGACATAACAGGTGTTTTACTTCAAAGATTTGCTATTCTCAATGCAAATGTACCCCGTCTTTCTTTGACAAATTTAAAGCATTTTATAGTATTGAACCTCCGACCTCAAGGTTTAAAAGCAGAACCGCAGCCGCTCCGCCAAAACAGTGGATCTAGAAGGTTCTCCAGTGAGCCATGTGATCTTTGAACCCCTGCAGGACCCCCACCAATTACTGGAGAGATAATAAGCAACATACCTTAATAGAAACATTTCTTCTCTCGACGGCAACACATACTGATACAACACTCCCGCAACATCCGCTTCCTTCACATCTTTGGATCAGTTCACATTCTGGATATATACTATAGCCAAATTCCCTTACAACGTTAAGTTCCTGATATATGTTGATGAGTTTTAATCTTGGCTTGCCGCAACTCGTTCCCGCCATCCTCATATATAGATCGTTTAAATCTGTAATTATCATTTATTATTAAGAATATAATAGTCAATTATTATTGTTATGACATAATAATAACATGAGCGAAAATGTACAACATAACGTTGTAGAACACCCGATACAGCCACTATTACTCGTCTTGAGAGCCAATTCACCTGGAAGATGCTCTGCAGACAGTAAAAGGCCTGGTACATAGCACACATGTTTGTACTGAAGTGTACAGACGTCTCAACCATGTCACCTCGCTCGAGCGCGCACGTGTCATGTGCTACAACCGCGTTAATAATCTATTTTTGCAATTTCTATTAAACTCTTGTCATTATATATAATTTTATTTTGTATGCATATCACGGCCTCAGGGGAGTACAATCCTAGTTTGTCCTGGAGCCCGGGATTAGATACTGTCGAATTTGAACTGAACTTGTGAAATTGAGATTTGGTTATGTCAGAAAATATAGTTAAAACTTCGTTGCAGTACGTTTGCAATGTTATTTTGTCCACAATTAAGTTATAAATACGTACAAACATCTAAAGTTTTGGAGATATATTGAGGAAACATTCACTGAGAAGTAAAACCATTTGTTTTGAATGTATTTCACGGCCCTAGAGAAGAACAACTCTGTGTTGATCTGGGCCTCCGTGGTTAAATAAAGTTGAACTTACACTTAACTTGTGTAAGTGAGATTTGGTTATGTCAGAAAATAACGTTAAAACTACGTTGCTGCAAAGTTTAAAATGTTGTTTTGTGCAAAGTCGGTTATAAATACGTACAGATATCTAAAGTTTTGAAACTACATTAAACGACTCACACATCTGAGGTTTTGAAGGTATATTGAGGAAACATTCTCTGAGAAGTTAAATAAAGTTGAATTTAAACTTAACTTGTGAAAGTGAGATTTGTTTATGTCAGAAAATATCGTTAATTAAAACTACGTTGCTTGCAGCAAAGTTTGAAATGTTATTTTGTGCAAACAAAATTAGGTTATAATACGCACAAACATCGAAAGTTTTGAACCTATAATATTAAAGAAACAGTCTCTGAAAAGTAACACCATAATATATAATACGTATTATAGGCCTAGTCCAATGTAATTTTATTGCCAATAATACAACTGGTAACATTGAAATTTGACTTCCTCGGATACAAAAATTGAAGGCACACAAATGACATTAATATAAAAACACAATATCAACATAAAACATTAACAAAGACATAGAAATGATAAAAAAAATACGACAAAAATGACATTAAAGTTGTGTCAGTAGTCTTGTATAATAAGTATGGTTGTATCTACGAACCTTTCTGCTGTGAGTAAACATCTAAAGTTTTGCGAATCGTGACCGGTGGAATAGTTGCACGTTCTTCCAATGTATTGCTGATATCAGCTGTTTTAGTTGCACGCTGTAAATTACAAAAATAAAAATTATTTTAAAGTCTTAAAACGACGACCATTGACACACATGGTCTTTGACGTAACTGTAATTCCGCCAAGTTTATTGGAAAACATAATAACTAAAGTAAAGGTTCATCAGGAGATTTAGGTGAAGTAGTCGAATTTCATTTGGTTTTGTAGGTTGGTTGGTGGAGACAATAGACTCGATAACGATGCCAAATCGATAACCCAGATTCACTCTAAATGTGTTATCTATCTGTAACGATATGGTTTCCTAATAGATATTCAAAAGCAGGGATTTCAATCGGTAAAATAATAGTGCCGCTAATCGGAAGAACTTGTATTCAATTAGATGTTGATATAGATCAATTTCATATTGTCTATATTGGATAGGAAATAACGACAAGTTCAAAAGGCTATGTGCGCTTCTGAAACACACGGTTCACTAAACAACAAGAAGCTTAATCATAGGCCTATCATTGACAATAATTGACTAGGCCTATTTTCCTTTTTTTGTCTAGTGGTTTATTTATGGGACCGCTCTGAAGGGGTGGGGGGAATCAAATTTTTATTTATTTTAGTTTAAATCTTCGAACACCAGTGACAAATACATATTATTAGGCAGAGACTGCAGGTAGAAGACATAAGCAAACGTTTTTTTTTAAATATCATCAAGGGATCTGCTTACACAATCTCCGTCTACAAAGACAACTACTGCCATAAAATATATTTTAACAACTACACAGATATAAATAATATTATAAAATGTTGACAATATTCACATTTAATGAGCAATTAGCCGTGGTGATATATATTTCAAATGTATACATTCATATAAGAAAGTATAATACATACTCCAAGTATTGAAATACACGCCATCGTGTTGGGATTCAATATTTCGACATTAATTATGTCATCATCGTCATTCCTGATGATGACATAATTAATGTCGAAATAGAGATGAATGAAATTATAGCAACTTTGTTCTTTTCATAAATAAGATAGGTAGGCCTATACTAATTTTTACTTTAATATTTCAATGTTGCTTGATCGGAATTTTAAATAGATACCACTGTAATATGTTCCTTTGTATCCAAGCCATTTAGTAGTCTGGACTTGATATGTGGTAGAATTAATATTACATCATAACAAGTACAAAACGGTTTAACCAAATATTTATTTTGACCAATAGTGGCGGATCCAGGAATTAGAGGGGGCCCAGAGAGGGATTTTGACAGATGGAGGGTCTATACCACATCAGTCTCATCATGGTTGGGCTGAGGTAAGGCTGATGTAAAATGCACGATTATGGCACCTCTAGATGGCCGGAAATGGCACTCTCAGACTTAAATTTTGAAAATAATCTTTTTTTCCACAATTGTTTACAATTTTGAAAAATTTAGAAGGGAGGAGGGGGCGGCCGGCCCCTCTTGAACCCGGCACTGATCATGTTTTAAACTATTCGACTAAATTTACTGTTTCAAGCCCTGTCCAGACTATCAAATGTTATTTGACAAAAATACGTGACATGCCTAAATATGGTCATGATTACATCACATAATGACCATTATACAGGCACTTCATTACTATACACGGTCATATAACAAATTTTTTTGTTTTGTTTTGTTTTGTTTTTTTTTCTTTTTTTTTTCAAAAAAATGATAGTCTGGACGGAGCTTTACATTTTCAAAGGTGCTCTGGTATCAGTTTGATTTTAGATTGGTTATTACATGTGTTTAAACTTACCGTATACGGAAGGCCAGTTTCTTGAATTGGATTGCACAAAACGGCATCAAGGATGATACAGACGACTACGAATTTCATCGATTTCTTGAACATGTTTGCTTGATAGAGTAATCTGTGCTATAAACAGCTCCAAAAAAAAAAACAAAAAAAAAGAAAAACCGATGGCTGTGGAAAGTGCTATTTTTTACAGAAGATAAAGTATAGATTATAGCGTTTCGTTCGAAGTAACAGAATTTACGTAATATAGACCTCAAAAAGCAGTCGATATGTGGTACAGAGTTAGCAAGAGAATCCAGGGTGTACATATATTCTCTATTTAAAGCTTCCGATTTCAATACAGCTCCGGTAAGAGGAAGTTATAATGAGATTCTGGCGGATCCTGCGGTTCTTTGGTGTTTTGTGGCTTTTCCGAAACCTCCGCGACATCAAATGGCAGTTACATTAACATCCAATCCTTCAAACGCGAAAGAGAGGCTGCAGGTGAGAAATCATGAACC